CAAATTTGTTTAAATAATTAGTGGTCAGGAGAACAAGACTGAAACATCAGATATTATTGCTGGTAATCTATCTCCAGTCAGCTCGTTGCGCTTCCGTATGTCTGTAGAAATTTGGACTGAGAATCTTTGATAAATAATCTGTATGTGGAAATTAATATTTTATATTGAAATTATATTATGTTAATATGTTTTAAAATACTACACTAAATGATTGAAAAATTCACAAAAAGCACTGTGTTTTAATGATCTTTTAAAAACATTTGCATAGAGTTGATTTATGCGTCATCAACCAAAGAAAGTGATAGTCCAGATTGATCTGTTATGCTGCATTGCTCTGGTTCACCAAGTCATCTTGTCCGTTAGTATCTAGAGATAAAAATGGATTATACTCTTTGGAGTGGTCCATAACATTAATGATGAACGCAGATTAATTTTGATTCTGTTTAAGATTTGCTGTCTCTGGATGCAGGGGGTAATGCTCTTACATCAGTGATTTTTGATCTAACATAGCTCTAAGCTCCTGCTGCCTCCTGAATCAATTCCACTCACTTACTTTGCCAAGTAATGAAAACATTTTTGCTGCACCTTGGCTATGTGTACAGATCCATATTCAGACATGTTTGCCCTTTGTTGTGTTACGCTCAGTTTGTTTGTTGATTACCACATTTCATGTGTGTTCTAGCCCCACCAGGAACTGTATTCTCATGCAGTTAAAAACGAGTGTAATCATTGGATGTGAACTGTTACAACAGGACTTTCACTGGAGAGAATATTAATATTGGTATTATCATAAAATTATTTGCTTGAACAGCTAGAAATTCTTTATCAGGCTAGTGAAGATGATACAAGCAAACATTCCCGAAGGCCTTTTCTGTTTGTATTTCTTTTATTCTGTTCCTTATGCGTTGCTAGGCAGTGATCCCTTCACGGTCTGAGTTAGGTTATTTAGTAAATAGACAAGTGTGATTTATGGTTTTGCTGTGACAGAGCTGCTTTTCTGTATGTGAACACATGTTTATGTAGATCATTCAAGAAGGGCATATTTATTTTGCTCCGTATCCTCCTCTGTTGTGGTGGCCCTCAATTTCTTAATAACTTCCCTAGATGTGATGAGTTCTCTCATTTACTAATACAGATCCATTCTCAATTTAAGATAATACAGCCTTCTGGCTACAAGTTAACTTTTAAAATTTATAGTAGCTGTATTTGATTTCTCCATCTATCAGTAATTTGCACCTTGGTTTTTCATTACAAAAATACTTCTAATAAGGTTCTGCACTCATCATGAGACAAAAAAAGGAAATCAGTGATAAATGCTCTATACACAGTCACATAATGAGTTGAAATGTGGCACTGAGTAGGAAATCATGTGTATGGGAAGTAAAATTCAGATACTCTACTGGCTTTTTCAGAAGCTTGTTGAGGAATTCAGACCAAACTGCCTATAATACTGAGTCTTCTTGAGGTGCACTGAGTTGTAAAGCACTGTTTTTAAGGTTAATATCTTAGTATCCATGTAGCAATAAATCTGTAGTTTGTAACCAAACACCTTCATAGCCAATATATCTCCAGTAATACATCATCAGACCACTATTTCTGCTCTTATCTATTTTTTTGATTAATTTGTATACAAACCCTACAGAAAGATTGTTTAAATTGATTGCTTGTTAATTTCTTAACTCCTTAACTCCTAGTGTCATTCTTCGAGTACCCTGTACAAAATTCAAACATTCAGCTGTCAGTGGGAAAAAAAAAGTTTCCTGCCAGTATTAAGATAAACTATCTTGATTAAAAAGCAAGCCTGATTCACCATAGGAATTATCTGGGAAGAGTCTGAAGGAAGACACTAGCTTTAGTATATATTTGAAGATCGTGAAAGATAAGGGCTCTGACAGTGCAGGATAAAGCGTATTTTAATAAAGACATCATAGCATCAAGACTTGTATGTGTAAATGCTGGGACTATTTGGTGGAGTGAACAGAGCCCAACTGCAGATATTTTAATAGCGTGAAGGACCTCCTAGGTGGGACTCTAGCTGTGCAAGATTTCAGTAAAATAAAAAAAAAAAAAGACAAAATCCAGAAATGGAGGAGGAATGCATTTAGACTTCTGACTAGAAGAGTTTGTTCTTTACACAGGATAGTATTAAACTAATAAGCATTTGTCCTCTGTATTAGATGGAGGAGGTTAAACACATGCAGTGAATGTGTTAAAATAACCATTTGGGAAGTTGTGAATAAACATCCGAAAGCATACGATCACCGGTTTAATAAATTACTGGGATTTGTACCCACAAAGCATTAACTCGTTTTTCTCTCCTAATTTTATCTTAATGTTGGATTATTTAGAAATGATCTTCAAAGAAGTAAGGACATATTTGCACAATTTTGTTTATAATGGATAAGAGAAAATATAGTTTTAGTTTTTTAAATATACATCTGAAATTAAACTCTTATCTATACCATAAAACTTGAAGACTATCTAGAAAACAAATCCAATTATGGCTTAAGCACTTGAGAAAGTGAAATCTGATTTAATTACTTTTTTCAAAAGAAAATTACATCTTTCAACTTTTTATTATTAAAATTCTACAGTTATTTTTATCACTATAAAAAGAACATGCTTGGAAGAGAAGCTCTCTTCATGGACTTCACGCTCTAGTCTTTGTTACTTAATACTCAAGCTGAAAATCTGAGTCCTTATACAAACTTCTGCTTGTCTAGAAAATAAGCCAGAAAAAACGGTTTATGATAGATAGTATTTGTATTCTTAGATATGGTATTAGAAAAAAATTAATTTAAGCATTAGAGGAAAATGGGCATGAATTTTTAAAAAAACTTCATTATCTTTATAAAAAGGTGAACATGCATAAAAATAACAGCAGAAATACTGTGCTGTCTCTTGCTGTAGGAAAGGCTTTACCCAATGCAGTGAAAATATGCTGTTATGATATAAAAAAATGGTTGGAAGTGATGAATTCACATTTCCATTTCATTTAAGAGTTCTAGAGCTGTTTTAGGAGCGAATGTAGCTTTGCATTTGCAAGAGAACTAAATACAGGGCCATTGCCCTTGCTGCTGCTCAGATGAGATCTACAGCCTCTGACCAGTCCTCAAGTGAAAGGGCTGAAGGACAGGTAAGGGACGAGACATAAGATTGTACCTTGTGCAAATAAGGTGCAGATATTTGCTCAAATCCCATTTGCCTCTTTGAAACAGCAGTACTTCACGTGTAGAGATTTGGTTTAGTCTCTGGATATAAAATAAAGTACCATAACCACTTAAGTGTCCTTTTCTCAGGAAATTATACTGGAATCTTAAAAACCTCATACATCTATATTAAAACCCGAGACTGGCAGATATTAATTTTACAGAAAAGACTTGAACACATTTTCGTATGTAGTCATGTATTCCCCCAATGGAATAAGCAGTGGCAATTAATTTCTTGCTGGGCAGAATTGCAAGACAGCCAGGGAAGAACGCATGAGAATGGTGTGAGTAAAGGGATATAATTTTTATTAAATTGAGATTTTTTTTTTTTAAATTTTAGCGTAAAACCCACCCAAAGATCTCTGTAAATAAGCGAATTGCAGAGATGTTCTACTATGTTCTACTCTCCCCTCAAAAGCCGATCAAATATATAGCGCTGGTCCAAGCAAGTATCACCCAATTAATCCCACTGGTTTTGACAGAAAGAATGAAATATTGTGAAGGCATTTGTGAAGAGTAGTAGCCTTAGTTGGGTAAAGTGCCACTTTTCTAGTATCTAAACAATTAGCAATGTTACTTAAAAATCTATTGCATCTTCCTTAAACACTGACTTCTTTTGCCCAATAATATTTAAGATATCTTAGTTTTAACAGATAAATTGGAATGGATAGGACAACTAAGCAAAGGGAAATTTAACAGTGAAGAAAGGAAGTAAGCTGAAACAGTGGAAAGGAAGAGAGAGAAAATATTTGTATGAAGAAACTTCTTGTGAAATATTTGGTAGAGGGTTTTGTCTCCAGGTAGGATCTAACACACATTTCTGTCGACAAGTATCACGTAGATAACCTTTGAGAAGCGAGACTCTTTTACCCATATGTTGTGGTTGTGCACAGTAATCCAAAGGTTCTTCGATTATTACTTCAAATATTATTACTAAACAATAGTAACTTTGTCAGATAACCATTTTTCTTTAAATTTCTTATTTTGCCTCTTGAGCATTTACCTAAATTAATTTTATGTGAACTGAAAAGATATATTTTTTATTGGGCCTTAATGCTGCTTACTGCCTAAATCAGAAAATATGTGATGGACAACACAAGGAGCTCTTCTAATTTTCAGGAAAGTGTCTCATCAGAAAAGACTGCTAGACGAGGGCTAGATACTTAGAAATGTGAATTCTGTTCCTGACTTGGAGAGCAAAAGTCCCCAGGTTAAATAATTGAGTTTCTAAGCACATACTTTGAACATTAATCGATAATGCTGAGGCTTTTCCTGCTTAAAGTGCTTCTGTATTGATAAAGTAGGTAATTATCACATTATAAGAATAGTTAATTATTATTTCTTCTAAAAGTATTATAATTACAATTTTGTGCAGTGCGTGTGTATTCCAAAAGTATTGGCATTTTTGGTTTTTGTCGGTCGTTTGAAGTATGTGTAAAAATTATAGATGGGGTAACATTAGCAAAAGGATCTCAACTCCCTGAGCAGTCCAGTGGAGGAAATGGGATCACTCATTTCTGTTGTTGCCACTCCTGGCTTTTTGAATTTAATCTCTCTATGACTCATCAATCTTTTAAAGCACAGAATGCTATTTCAGCCAAATCATAAAGGTAATATGATGCTTCATTAGTGTTTGAGCTGTAAAAGGCTCTTTAATATTTTGCTGAGGCATGCGTGGTAATATTATTTAATTCTAGAGCAAAGCAAGAGCTGTGTTACATAGGATTATGGTTATGATTATTTTTAGCAGTAATTTTATAACTCTGTCCTTTGCTTGTGCTCCATGCATAGGGAGTTGGCCTCTCAGTCCATGGACATTTCCGAGTTGCTACAGAAAGGACACTTTTCGCAATGCCAGAGACAGCAATAGGTGAGTATTTTAATAGCTTACCACATGTTAACCTGTTTAAATTGTCACTGCTTGTGTAATCAGGATGAAATGTCTTTGACTGAAAATAGTGGTGGTAATGAAAGAATTTTAAAAGGGAACCAGAGATGACCGTATATGGAAAGTATTTTCTATTAAATTAATAGAAACGTACCTGTATTCTGGGAGATTGATCATTGACGTTCTTAACCTGGGGTTTACTGTCTAGAGTGACACAAAGGCTGTCTGGATACAATTTTTTAAAAATGGAAGTCGATCTGAGGAACTAAGAGGAACTAAGTCTTTGCTACAGATGTAGGCAGATAAAGTCTGAAGATCCCAGTGCAAGCATGTTCACCATTTGGAACATGCTTGTTCCATTTGGAACTCTGTGTGAGTCAAACTGGCTGTACTGTGAGCTGATCTGCAACGTTAATGAGACAGATCTTGAAATTCCATCTTTTCTTGTAGATTATTAATGTGGACCCATTACAGTTGTGTACAGATTGTGTGCAGGCAAGAGCACAGTGTTGTCATATTTCTTTATTTTTTTTCTAAATAGCAACAAGCACCTTGTGTTTCCTAATGTTTGATCCTACAGCTTCTTTATCAGCTCTGAGATGTCCAAAAGAAAATGTTGTGTCTCAGAGCTATATGAAGATGGTGGTGTGGCTCAAGAAAAGTCAGTCAGGTTAAATCATCCACCTTTCCCTTCAGCACAGTCCTGGAACCAACAGGGTGTCCACGTTGAACCTATTATTGTCTGGCATATATGCCTCATGAATGCTTTCATCAATGTCCAAGTCCCTTCTCCCCGCTTATCAACAAAGTTTATGAAGGGTGCTGAAAACTATAACCTATCCTGCATTTCTCTCCTGCAAAATTTCTAGTCTCTATGTCTTTCCAAGGAAAGGCAGCTGAAGGATGATTATAATTGTTCTTCTCTATGTCCTCAAGCAAGACAGTAAGACTAGTCTGTAATATGTGGCCCTGTTGAATATATTTATTCAGAATAGAGAACCTTATCTGGTGGTTAAACAGCTTAAATGGGACCAGACGTGGCACAAAGTTCAATCTTAGTTTCACCTCAAAGAATTAGTTATAAGGAGTAGGGACCATTGTTCCCTTAAAAGAACTTCCAAACAGTTATATAGTGTTAAAGCCAAGAAAAAATGGTAAAAAAAAAAAAAAAAAAATCATGAGTCAGTTCTGAAAAGAGAATAAAAGTTACAATATTCTGCTATTGTTGAGAATATTTTAAGTACAATAATGTCATTAAAGCTAAAGTTAAAATGCAGGCTTAGTTAATGATTGGATTTTTGTAGTGCCCCTTGCTAGTAACGCTTAAAAGCGCTGGCATTTTTTGTATTTTTAATGGGTGTCTCACACATGTTATCATTGTTTATTGCTCTCCAGCCTGTATGAAACATTTCACAAGACTTATTCTGAAATTCTTAGAATAATAAAGGAGCTGCGAGTGTCAAGTCAAATAAAACATAATAAACGCCCCAAATATAAGCAAGCTCATTATCCTTTTAACTCCTGAAAAAAATATTACAGCAATTCCTGCTAGCTGATAAACATGATGTAATTTTTCTGAACAAATAAGTTTGGGATAAGAAAAACAAAAACTATTGCAGCCCTCCAAAGATTTTTCTCTCTGCTGAAGGAAAACTTAGTAAACTAAATAGCTCAAGCATTAATACAACATTAATTTGTTAAACTCCTGAAGTTCATAGTAAGTTGTTCTACAAGAAAAGCATTTGAAGGAAACAATTTTTTTTTAAAAGCTAAACAGGGAGGTACTTTGGCATACAAAATTATTCTAATAATGAAGATAGCTTCTGCGCTTTCTTCTTCAAAGGTAAAGATATGAGTAGTCTTACATTAACAAAAATGCTGTACTTCACTTACATTTCTTGTGTTGACAAGGACTTAAACAAAAATAGACTGAAGACATGTAAAGGAAAAGCTTAGAACTCGCTTAGGAAAGAAAGTAATTAAAACCCTTTTAGGATCAATTAGAAGTAAACCCGCTGAAATCTGTTTGGATTTAAAGGCTTAGCTGTTTTGATCTCTGTGGTGTATGTTTAAAATGTGGCTTTTTTTTGTATTTTTTTTATTTTTTTTTTCATATGTTCACTTATTTCAGTAGGCATTACACCTTTTCTGTGAGATGAAAACAGCGCTCATTCAGCTGCTACATTTTGACACAATTATTCTGCATTTAGACACCACCGTAAATAAAAGGATATAGATAGCTATGCCAGAAATCAAAGGCAATTCTAGACTGTAGGAGTTTGGAACTGACATAGATGAGGTAAAGCACTGGAAAGCAGCTTCGATGTAGGAGGGTGTGGAAAAACCACCGGTGGGAAGAACGGGGGATGAAAGTGTATTGTCAGAGGTGGGCTTTAAGGTGATGCTGTAAGAATAGTGGACACTTTCTTGTATATTCCTCTATATTTAGCTTTCTGTAAGTCATTAACCAATAAATCTCCAACCACCTCTGCCAGATAGTGTAGGAATGTAGTAGTGCTACCTTTATCTTATGCTTGGCAACTGCAGAGTTTCACAACTGGGATTACGGTGAAGCGTGTTGCATCTGTCTCGGAGCACAGACTGCAGGTCAGCACCACAGGCACAGGCTTTTAGCCTGGTCAGCCCAGCAGACATTCAGTTCTTCTCTTATGTAAGTAAGGATTTGAGAAATAATTGGTAAATGCTATCAAAAAGAAAAAAAATCAAGTCTATGGAATATGTTAAGAGAAACCCAGTAGCAAGCAGAAACATACTGGGAGAATTAAGAGCAATATGTAGAACAGGGACAAGAGGAGTAGAATTATAAGAAGAAAGGAAGGCAGGGACCTCGAAAAGGATACAGTAGAAGCTGTAGCACACTACGTTTATGCAACCAAGTAAGTTTAAAGTGGATTAGTTACACCTTCACTAATCCTGTTTGTAAATTCCTTAATAATTAAACTTTCATTCAGTTTAGTTTTATTCGCCTCTAACGCAACGGAAGCTAATCAACTTCACGGTTCCTTTAGAATTAATTTCTCTGTGTATGGCCATGTGGAACGGCCCCATTGATCCCAGTAGCAAGACGGCTCTTCCTCTGGAAACTTGCCAGAGCATGGGGAGAACCGTACTTCAGCGTTGGTATTTTAATAACAGCAAAGAGGAAAAGGTTGTTGCTGTTGCAGTCCTGGTGGATGGGGAGAATAATGTAATTGCTTGTCTGCTTTGGAGGACATTTGTAAGAGAAGTTTCATTTTGAAATCAGGGATTTTTTTGCAGTAGTAGGATGTCCAAGGGGAGACAGATGAATAGAAACATAAAACTAAATGACAGTCTTGGCATCAACATTAGAGATATGACGGCTCAAACTGAGTAGGTAAAATGCAGAGTAGACTATTCAGAATGTGAGTACAGATGAAAAGAAAGTAAGTGATTAATTTGGGTTAATACAGCTTAGGGCTTTTAAAGGGTGCCAACAAGACATTCAGCATTTTAGAAGAGCTGTATGTCTCGGTAGCCTGTGGGATGAGGAATAAATCAGTTAATGGCAACACGCGCATCAGTGGGAATGGTAATACAATACTACAACTATAACTGATAGGAAGTGGCTCCTAAAACAGCTTTGTTGGAGGCAGCAGAACTAAGGGAGGACCAAGAGGGAACCAGAGAAGCTGAGAGATGGCTAGGAACATAAGGCAGTGATGAACTTCAGAGATTACTGAGAAGAGGAAAACACTGAAGAGAAGCTCTCTGAAAGAAACCTCTCCTTGATTCCATCCAAGGAGGGGGAATATTCAGGCACCACTGATTTCCCACATCTTAAAATACAACTAATAGGGTCTTTCTGTGATGCATACATTGACTCTTTTTGTGACTGAAAGCAATTACTTGTGAGTGAAAAATTGCTATCTTCTATCAGAACCCCATTTAAACTCCTTATGCGCATCTTAATCTTCCCAGTTAATATCTGTGCTTTGGCAAGTGTTTCCTGAGTTTCTTATTGCTCATTTGTATTTTTTAATTTATTTTCATGTTTCATTTATTCTCTCAGAGTGAAAAAAGCCCACCACCACACCTTTAATTTCTTCAGAAAGCCTTTCTGGTTCATGAATGCACCATTGGTGATTATTATGAAATAGTAACTGGACACTGCTCCTTTCCATTTCGATTTCTGAGATTGATACAGCTAAGCTTAAGTTTTCTTAAGTTTAAGTATGTTAAAAGTTACAAAAAGTGTTTGAATTTATTTTGTAGGCGATTAATGTATGTAACAGCATAAGGTAGATATTGGGAAAGTGATGATTTTAAATATTTAAACTTTGATAAAAGTAGTTACAGATTTTTCAATTGCAACTTTTGAAAGTCTTTTAAATTTCATTCACAACTTTGAATTTTTAAAAATTTTCCTACTCTGTAGATTTTAAAAAATACAAAAGACAGTCACTAAACTGGAAAGTTTTATAATTTTTTTAAATTGCAGATTAGTCATGGTCCTGTCAAAGAGCCAGATATTAGGTCACCATCTTGTGCCTCCACCTTCAGGAAGGCCCTGGCAATATTGTCAATCTGTTGATTTCTCAGCCCCCAAGTTTGTTCAAACTTAGCTGTGCAAGAGGCATTTCATCATTGTTTGATATATTTATCGTAATAAAAGATTTCAGAGAAAAGGCAGCATCCAGTTTGAGTTTGCACAAATCACTTCCCAATTCTTTGTGTCACTTCTGCTGTTTGCAGAGAGCACGCTTGATTCTTCAGGCTTCTACAAACCTCTCAAGCTGCTGGCAAGTAGAACGAACAGTGTTGTCTGGTGTATGTTTGTAAATTATGAGCCAGTGGAAAAGATACAGTTTGGAAGGTGTTCCAGAGTTTGCTTTTAGGAAGGGTTTTGATGACAGAGAAATGTCAAACCAAGCCAAGGAGAAACTTGGGCAAGAGAGCCTTGCCTAAGTCAGGGAGATGAAAAGCGAGACAAGAAGAAATAGCTACGCAGTCTCACGCATGACAACTTCTTCTTCCTTCACATTTTTTTGTTTTCTTTTGTTTATTACAGGCCATTTTCCTGATGTAGGTGGAGGATATTTCTTGCCAAGACTATCAGGAAAGATTGGCTATTACCTTGGGCTAACAGGATTCAGGCTGAAAGGAAGAGATGTACTAAAAGCTGGCATCGCTACACATTTTATAGAATCCGAGAAGGTGAGCCGCTAACTGGCGCTAGCAAGGGCACAGCCTACAACCGTGACGACAGGTTTGAGCTGTGTGGCACACCTTTCAGCAACCTGAGCATATGCAGAGGCACGATTCTATTAACTGGCCGTGCACTGTGGACGGGGAGCATCAGATACTGTCAAGCTGTCATCATAACGCTTGCCAGCTAGTGACAGCTTTGCTTGGAAGAGCGAGCAAGCGCTGTCTTCGTGATTCTGCTGTTGAGGGGCATGATTTACTGAGCGTAACTGAAGTTGCTTGAAAAATTGTACAATTTAGACAACAGTGTCTGAAATTAGAGATTATTTATACAACTGCAGAGTTTTTGATCTAGGTAACACCCCATTAATGTGTTTTTGTCTGTCTCCTTAATAGATATCCTATTTGTTTCTTAAGAGTGTCTGTAAGAAAGTCTAAAAATTAGTATATTTGATAAAGTCAGAGTCATAATGTTCCAGTAACTTGCATGGACATAAGTGAAGGAGAAACAATGACTTGCTTTCCTCCTCCGTGGAAGGACCCATGACTGTCATTGTGGAGCTGGTTAGATACTATTTTGAGTGTAGCCTGGTTGCCAGGCTCTTGCTCTTTGCCCGCAGACTGTTGTAGGCTGGCTTTACCTGCTGCAGCACTGCACTGGGGGTCTGCTTGGGAAGCAGAGTTCTGGGCTGATTCTGCAGGCATAATTATATCCAGATGGTTCAACACCGAGAAGTGAACTGTAGCGCTTTATATTGTTGATGTGGTGCCTTCTTTAAGATATGTCTGAAGGTTGGGGGGGACATATGCTGGTGTTTATTCACGTGTATACTATACAGTACTATTACCATAGCAGTAATAATCCAAGTCCTACATTTTGGTTTACTTCTAATTAAATCTTATTTTTAATAGCTGCCTGCCTTAGAGAAAGACCTGATAGCACTGAAATCTCCTTCAACAGAAAACATTGCAGACTTACTGAACTCTTACCATCTGAAGGTAATCAAGCAGAATTGTTAAATATATGTAAATACAAATTCTTTTTTTATCCACGCTACTGATCATTTTTTTAATGGTTAAAAAAATAATGGGTTTCCAAACTCTTTGAGCTCTGTAGAATACTAACTTGTAGCACTAATGGCTACAGTGGTCAAAATGAAAATTTAAAAGTCTTTTTTCGCTATTTTTTAATTTTGGTCAGCTCTCTCTTTCTACGTGCGTATGTAAGTTTCCAGCCAGTATCATGATGATGCAGTTCTATAGAATACTAACTTGTAGCACTAATGGCTACAGTGGTCAAAATGAAAATTTAAAAGTCTTTTTTCGCTATTTTTTAATTTTGGTCATTTCTCTCTTTCTACGTGCGTATGTAAGTTTCCAGCCAGTATCATGATGATGCAGTAAAGATATTGCTGCTTAATTTCCCCTGTTATTCTTGGATTTGTAGCATGCTTTGCAGCAGGTGAAGTAGATAGCCACTAGCAGACTGGGAGTTGTACACAATGGCAAGGGCAGTCTAGGGAGTTAGCCTGAAATTCAGGGATTCTGACAAACACAGAAGACAGGAGTAGAACTACTGCCCTAGTCCAGAGGCTGCAGAAGTTATACTGCCAGTTATTAAATGCTGTGCTGCTCACTTGGAAGTGGATGTTTTATTTCCATCCCAGAAACTTTATCGACATGAAGAGATATTTTGCTAGCTTGATGCATTTGATATAAATTTTAACATTATTTTGATGCAGACCATCTGCAGTCCAGATTTGAAGCCTGAATTTAAAGGCTCAAGTTGTTCCTTTAATTTCTCAGACATTTTATGTTTTTAACCTTGAGATAATTGAAAGACTGTGAGTAAGCACAGCAG